GTTCCCCCGGAACATACTGATCCCCAGCTGATACAGAAATCCTTGACCCTGAATCCCCTCCATTTACCTTCTAGAAAGGTAAAATGCTTCTTGCCATAAAAAAAAAATACTCTGTTTATGAGATGGTTGTATAGATTTACCAAGCTTTTAACTACTCCCAAAAGTTTCACAGAACAAATGTTCCTAGATGCTGCCACATATAGACACACAGAAAAAGAGGAGGTCTTCATGTTCTAGGAGCCACTGCATTAATGTGTTCCTCTTCTGGCCATGGCAAATAACAGACCAAGGCTGAAATTCTTTCTGCTACTTGATACGTGTCATTTCTTATAGGTAAAGGAAATGGAAATCTTTAAGGATGACATACAGATATGACAAGAGCCATGTCGAAGATTCCTGGCAACACATGGCCAGAGTTTTCTTCTAAGTTGTCAAAGAAGAGCCCTCAATTATATGTTGAACTTTGTTAGATCTGAGTTGGGTTTAGTAGTGGCTACGTTTATCCAAAAGGAGGTTCATAAGGTACAAGCATAAGCTTTGCCAAACTGATATCTTACAAAGTTTGGTTCTGAATCTCTTCGGTCTCTCCACAGTCACCTGGAAACTAATTGCATTAGATATTCCTAATGCATAACTTGATTTGCCCCCTTTTTTCATAAGCCTATTATCTTCAGCTCCTGACCTGTGAAAATGATTGTTCTTTGTCAGTTCTGCCTTATCCACTTCCCTTGTCTGTATCACTTGGGGCTGACCACGCTTAATTCTCTTTTTCTCAAAAAATTCAAATAATTTTTTGCTGTTTCCTTCTGAAAAAAACCTAGCAGCTTTCTATAATTTTAATTCCCTTCCAGCTGTTTTCTGTATTTGCCAAAAGCCGTCTCCTTTCCATTCTCAAAGCACTTTAGGACATATTGAAATTCAAAGTAGAGCTGTTAAGGCCTTATTCAGCATGGCCTGCATCTTGCATAAATAGCTGTTACGTTTTTAAAGATGTTACTACTGTTTTAACAGAGCATTAAATGTCATTGTGAATTTACTGCATTCAAATACTACGTGGTTCCTGGGGGGTGCAGCAAATTGCACAGTACTGGACCTGCATCGTTCAGCCTGGAGAAGGTGGCCTGATACAAGAGATGGAGATGGGGAAATGATGACTTGGTGGGCTCTGTGGGCAGCTCCAATGACCAGGCAGAGAGAAGAGGAGCTAGATGGGTCCGCCGCCTTCTCGTTGCTCTGCTCTCACAGAGCCATCCAGAAGGAAACAACTTTGAGTCTTTCCTCGCTTGTCAGTCGACTGGGAAGGACTTTTAGCGAGTCTGCATGATGATCAAAACTTGAAACGTTGCCTGTTCACCTTTCTTCCTTGCTTTCTCCCTGATAGTCTGCCCTGACAGAGGCATGCAGCGATCTGGCTGAGGGAAGCCAAAGGTTGTGCAAATACAAACCCCTCTGCTGTGTTGTGCTGCCTTCGCAGCTGTACAGCGTAGGCCAGCCAAAGCGCTCTTACAGCTCCTATACCCTGCAGGCTGCTGAGTGCCAAAGTCACCCTATTTCTCACAGGGCTTCGCCCTTAGCACGTTCACTGTGTTGCTGCATGAAGGTTGGCACTGGGTAAGGACCGCAGAATATGTGCTGCATTGCTGAAAACAGGGGCAGTCTCTTTGGCCACCCACTCCTCAGAAGGGCTGCACTTCCAGCCAGCGGTATGGTGGGTGCCACGGTTGTCCTCCGTTCCCCCACCTCTCATCCCACCCAAGTTACTTGCACCCGTGCGTCGTCACCCGAAGGCTGAACCCACCGGCTGCGGCTCTGCCTCCCGGCTGCTCCTTCTCCCAGCTCCTCCATCAGCCTTTACCTGGAGGCCTGTCTCTTCCCAGGGCAGGTCTGACATGTCTGACTCGCCTGACGGCAGGATCCTGTTGCAGCTTTCTGAAAAGGCTCCCACTGAATGATGTAGGCGGCCACGTGGCGAGCGAGAACCACAGCCACCGAACGCGATGGATGCAAACCCCAGCCTCGCGCCACGCTCCCGCCGTCGCTCCCATTCACGCGGCAAGCTTCCTTAAGAACAGACCCTTGGTCCCACAGTTGAACTACTGGAAGTCTAAGCACAGGCTGGAAGTGTGAGATTATTGAGAAAATTAGCCAAAAAGAAAATTTAGATCTATAACTAAATTAATCTCCAGATTAACGCTATCAAAGCAAATGGTGTTTATAGAAAGTCTTGTTTTCTTTATATTCATGCGAGAGAAAATCAAAAGAATGCTAAAGGCAAATTTCATCTAGCACAATTGGAAAAGAGAGCGTGGGGACAAAGCTATAATTACTGGTATTTCCTATCTGTTGAAACCTGTGGGTGGAAAGAGAGGCGGTGAATAGAGTATATTCAATGGCATTAAAATCGGTTTCTTTTTCTGGACTTTAGCTCAACGCTGCAAATTAGCAGGGAGAAAATAAGCCTCAGAGTGAACAGGCAGAGAAGCCAACTTCTTCGTGTTACTCTTCGCTGTTAGAAAAAAAAGGCATTTTTTTCCTTCAAGAATTCAAATTCCTAGCAACCCAAACTACAGCTGCACACTGACAAGAAGAGAACGTACAGCAGATCTCAAGTGGCTCAGTGTTCATGTGTCCACACACGCACTATTATCCTGGTTTCCTTTCTAAACATGCTATTTTAATGAAGAGAGGACAGGCATGCCGTTTAATTAACTCCTGCTTTCAAAAAAGATATTCTGACCCAGATTCATCATGCTCCAACTTAGGCACCTGCAGAGGTACCTGACTTCAGAGCATCCTGTGTACAGTCAGTGGAAGGGGTAAGACCCTCCCGATCATGATTCAGACCACCAGAGATCAGAATTGCCATTGCTAGGCGCCCATCTCTTTCTGCGAACTACTGCAGGTACTTAGGATAACTGTGCTCCTCCGCCAGCCATTTCACAGAACCGGGAAGGATGATTCCAGACCTTAACATATCTCTGCTTGTCACTGTCATCCCACATGCGAATTTCTCGTTTAAGCAATAGCTATTATTTGACTGAATGCCTATAGAAAAATAGGCACAATTAAAACATGTTTTTCTTAATGTGAAAAAAATGCATCTTGCAGTTTGAGATCACTGCATAGACCTGAATTATTCTGAAGAATTCCTGTCATAAGATGTTTACTTAGTTCCTGATTTATTTTCACAACAATTAATAAATGGAATAGTCTGAGGCTGCATTTTTTGTAAAGGTTTGAAAGTATAAGTGAAAATGGCTGAGATTTAGCTAAGATAAAAAGTGGTGTATTATTATTAAAAATAATAATAGTAATAATAATATTAATGTTGTGGTGGTAATGTAGGGTTGACTGGTTGCTTCTGTAAACAAGAAATTTGATTTGAAGCATCTACCTTTGGGTATCCGTCAGTCCCATTATTCCCCAAACCCACCTAAAATACTGCAAGCTATAGTAGGAAATCCTACTTAGAATAAAATAACGGTTTTAACTATTAGGTTTTTTATGGCTTTAATACAGCCTGTTCTTACATGCAACAATATTGATTTGTATTAGATTACTGTTCAAGGTGGATTTTTGTCTCAACTGTTCTAGAATGTGATTTAGTATTTAATTAATACTGCTTCAGTCAAGCTAGATATGTCACTGGAGCAACACATTTCCTAAACGTTTTTGTAAATGGGTTATATTTTCACTTTGCTTATTAGAGTCCTCTAATGATTACCAAGCCTTAAATGAAAACCAGAAAACAATAAACGGCTTGCTCTCCTCTGCATTTCTCTCCCTATGCCGGCACAGCCACACATGCCGTTATCGTTCTTACCCTGTTCTTGGTTAGCCTCGCTCGCTGTCAAATCTAAGACCAGCCTGTGATCCCCTATCGATTGCAGCAGGACATTAAAAGGGTGCGCAGTGCTTCAGAGAGACGCCCTGCGCAACGCTGGGGTCAGGGAAGGGATTGCATCTTTGTATTTGTTTTTTCCAAGAATGTGTCAAAGTACTGTCAGAATTACAAATAAGATTTGC